TCTCTCAGTTCTTTAATAAAGAAATGTAATAATGACAAAAGAAAATATCCTCCATTTGTCCAGCTCAGGAATTGGTAATTAATGACATTTTTCACTAACATTTTCCAAAACACCTATCCAATTTAAAGTTCAGATGGTATATTGCAACCTTATCAAATGCAAAACCCTTTAAGAAGCAAAACAGTGGTGAATTTCTCATTATACATGTTGTATTATTAACACAATTTGGAAAGGAGAGCTTCCATTTTGAGTAGGCTGTTCAGAAAACTTAATTCCTCAACCCCAATGATATTGTCTAGATTTTTGCTTCATTCTTCTTACATCGGAAACCTTGTTTCTGCTTCTCTACGACATTTTTCAAGTTTGTGGTGCCAAAGGACAAACTTCTTAACACCTCCTCTGGCCCCTGTGACAGCCCTGTCATAAACTTGAGTGAGCTGGCACAGTGAGTTGTTGTTGTTGTAGTTGTTATGTGCCATCGAGTTGTTTGCGACTCATAACGACCCTATGTACAAGAGCCCTAAATGCCATTCTATCCTGTGCCAACCTCACTGTCTCAAACACACTCATTCCCACCACTCCACTCTCAGAATCGATCCATCTCATCAAGGGTCTTCCTCTCCTGTGCCGTCCCTCCACTCTCCCAAACATGATGTCCCTCTCCAACATGCCCAAAGTATGTCAGATGAAGCTTCAGAATCCTTGACTCCTGGGAACATTCTGGCTTCACCCTCTCCAAGACAAACCTGTTTGTTCTCCTAGCAGTCCATGGTATATTCAACACTCTTCTCCAGCACCACAACTCAAAGGCATCAATTCTCTTTCTATCATCCCTATTCACTGTCCAACTCTCCGATGCACAGTGAGTAGTAAGGGTTATCTCTGGAAGCCATTCCTGTTCTCGAATGACGACTGATAACTTCATTATGCACAGAAATTAACTACAAACAAATAGATTTTTCCATAACTCAAACTAAATGGATGTTGTTATGTGTGTCAAGTCAGAACCAGCTTATTCTCTAGTGGTTTTCAGAGGCTGTCAGTCACACAGGAAGAGATTACCCATCTTTCCCCAGCAGAGCAGTTGGTGGCATTCCTTTGGGTTGCCAGTGCAATGCCTTTTTACCAGATCTCCCTGTACCTTCAAATGTTGTTGTGTACCATTCAGCTGAGACAGATTCATGCGACAGTAAATCACACAGGAATTGACTGCCCATTTTTCTCCCATGGAGCAGCTAGCAGATTCAAACCACATGCCCTTACCTTCAAATTGTTGTTTTTGTTGTACTGTAGAGTAAGAACTGACCCATAGCTGGCAATCTGGTGGGTTTTCAGAGGCAGTCAGTTGCATGGGAGAAGATTGCCCATCCTTCTCCCCTTCAAATAGGATCCTAAAATACCCATAAATGCCATTCAATAAAAGGGTCTTCTTCTTCTTCTTTTTTTTCCTTCTGACCTTTCTTGGCCAGGCACTGGTCCCACCTGGTAACATGTCCAAACTGTGTGCGAAAGTCTCATCATCTTCACTTGAGCCAGTACTTTCCCCAAAACACATTTGTTTGTTCTTCTGGTAGTCCATTGTACAGTCAGTACACTTGGCCAACACCATATTTTTTATTATTCTTTGAGGAAGAGAGTGACCGGCTACAGGCTTGGATCTCAAAGTTCTTAGAACACTTGTGGTACCTGTTGCTCTACTTCCACACATCCTGTGTCTTAAGGCTCACTGCCATTGAGTTGGTTTCAAATCAGGCTTCTAGGGCTGTAAATTGTCATGGAAGGAGACTTCATCTGTCTCCCAAGGAGCCACTGGTGGAGTCACGCTTCGAAGCCTTCAGCAACACAAGCTCACATAGTGAACTACAGGCTAGGTCACCAGAGTAAGAATTAGGTTTCTGTCACTTGCAACCAGAAATATCTTGAACTAATTGTCTCCATCTTGGCTTCTTTTCTTGACGACCCTGTCTCTGTAATGACACCACTGGCTACTTAGAGGTAAACTGAGGTCTGAAGCTATGATTGGCTCCTCTTTTTCTCCTGTAAGGATGTCATACACTGTTATACAAGATGTTCACTGAACAAGGACACTGAAGTCTAGCATGCCTCCCTACGAACACTGATGCAGGGCTTTGTTCCTGACAATCTCATTTTTCTAGTTGCACACGTGCACCCTGTAGGATCCTGGGATCTTCTTCATATATAGAGTTAGAAGCTCTTCTCTTTGCAAAAAAACCATTCCTATTCTAGGAATCCTCTCTAGACCTGGTTTAACTAATTCTCATTCCCCACAATCACCTCTCATTGCACCCGTACCTTTCTGTATAACACTCTCACAGTTTATAATAATGCACTTATTCATCTGGTTATTTGTCTAATGGCTATTTCACCACTGAATTTTAAGCTCTGTAAGGGCCAGGACTCCATGGTCTCTACTGTGCTGTTAACATCTACACTTTGTTTGGTATGTTGGTCTCCAATCCTCTGCCTTCTCTCTATTCCCACTCCAGCTCAGACCATGCCATATCTTCTTAGAGCAGCCCCTGTATCTTCCCAATAGGTCAAGTTGTAATTCATTCTACAAGCCCCAGATGGCCTTCCAAAAGACAAGTTATTTGCATCCTTCCATTGTTTAGAGTCCTCTATTGTCCTTGAGTCAAAATGGGAGCCTCTTCATGGGGTTCACTGTGGCCCCACCTCTGCCTTTTCCCCACCCCACATCACCTCTGGCCTTCCTTGTGAGCATTTTTGGTTCCATGAAGTCACTGTTTTCTATCAATTTTGCATCTTTGTATGTGTTGCTTCCTCAGTTTGAAGCCCCTTTCTTTGTCCCCGTTACCTGTCTAACTCTCTCAAGGGTCTTCTCAGAATTCACCTCCTTAACTCTACCTCCTCCAAACAGGGGAGCCCTTTCACACAACTCCTGTTGTGTTCCTCTGTACATTCACTCCCAGTACAGCCCTTAATCAATTGTGATGTAATACGCTGTCTACAAGTCTGACTGTACCCTCCCTGCCAAATGTCTGCTTCCCAAGGGCAACAACTGGTTCCAATGGTCCCTTTTGGCCCGGCACAGGACCTGGCATCTACTGAATGAATACATTAATAAATGAGCCCCAAGGGGGTCTCAGAGGAGCAGAAAAGATCCCAAAGGGAGTCTGGGGAAGCAGCCAGCAGATGAACTGAAGATCCTCAGTAACAGAGCAGCTCTGGGATATTCCTTAGGGATCTTGTGTTGGGGAGAGCAGAGGCGGCTGAACAGATCTTCAGACATGTGATGAGGCCCTTCCTTCTGGAATTGCTTCTTGCCTGTGTCCTCCACTTGATGAACAGAGCCCTTGGAAATGGGACTGTAGGAAAAAGAGTCTATAGAGATGGGATGTGTCAGTAGAGTCCAGTATCTTGCTGGCAGGAGAGGTAGAGAGGGAGTGTGTGTGTGTGTGTGTGTGTGTGTGTGTGTGTGTGTGTGCTCTCCCTGCAGGGGTGCATGGGTCTATTGGCATTTTGCTTATGTTGGGAAGACAGCTCAAATGAAATCTCCTCCAGGAAGCCCTTCTCAGTACCCTGGCTAAATAAATGACTCCCTCCTTTCCTCTCAGAGATTTTGTGTCCTGATGGAACATTTGATCAGCCCTGTGGTTGATGCTAGTTTACATGTGTGCCTCCTCAGAGTTTCTGAACTCTGTTCCTTTCATGAGCTCTCAGACAGTGCTGAGGAAAAAGTGAGTGCTGGGTGGTGTCTTCTGGACCTGTCAGGACTTCTCTGCTGTCTCTTTGTGATGACACCTGTTACTAAGAGCCTGTGGACTATCTTACAGCTTAGAATGTTCCTTCAGATGCATTTCATTTGTTTGTCCTGGTGCTGGAACACTGGATCACACTCTCTGTACCAATAAGGATTCATAGTGCATCTGGGTCCATGGTCCTTGTGGACATGGCACTTGGGTGCACTCTGTCTATGGAAGGGCCCTGATTCTCAACCTTGCAGTCACTTGAGAATCAGCTAGGGAGCTTTAAAAAAATACCGTTTTCCCAGGTACAAACATTAAGTCAGAACCTCCAGGGAGAGGAGTCAGCCATGGATGTTTTCAGAAACCACTCAGAAAAATCGGGTGTGCATTCCATCATAAGAACCATTAACCTGTGTGCAGTCAAGCCATGGTCAGAGGACTCTCCCCCGATGTTGGCGTCTTAGTTCTACCCTTCTTGCCTCCAGGGTAGCCGACTTCCTACTTGCAACCCGCTCGCCGCCTACAGGGGTCGCTGCGGGACAGTTGCCCAGTTTGCGGATTTTCAAGATCCCAGCATCTTCCCCAGGGAAAGCCAGAGCCACCTTCGTATAAATAGCGTCTTTATTTCAAACACCTGAGCGGGCGCCCGCGGTCCGTCCGCCATATAAACATAAAAAGTCCCTGTCGCACCGCACACCATGCCTCAGAGATAAATACCGCCCTAGGGGCTCCTACTCCGGCAAAGCAACTCTTATTTACAGGAATAGATTACAAAAGTATTACAAAAAGTGGTCCTGAACCTGGGAGGAGGGGAAGGGGAAGGTTCTGGTTACACCTGTTACAGTTGGGACGGGAGCGCATCGCGCGGGCCTTGGGAAAGGGTAGACGTCTGGGAGCCCCAGGAAGCAAACCTCGCGCCCCCGTCGGCGTCCCAGGTGGGGCTGGGTTTGCGCGAGTCCCATCCCGCCATTGGGTTGGGGTGAGGAAGACAACGGGCCTGACCCTTGAAAGATCAGCTCTGGCCCACCAAGAGCTCTGAACCGCCATCGCCGCGGAGTTCAGGGAAGTGCTGTTTGAAAAACACCAATTGTGTCCTTGCCTTATGAGACAGAGGGGCGGAAACACACTCCAGTTTTCCCGCCTCTCCCACCTCGGGAGGGGTCGCTTTACAAGCGCGCTCTGGGGAGGGGTTGGCACGTAAGCTCAATGTTTTGGACGTGAGGGACCCAGGGGCACCATCCCTCTAGGGGGAGGACTGCAGCGACCTCCCCCTCAAAGCACCTGGTAGATCCGATTGGGGTTCGCGCCCGCGGGACACTGCGCGGCGCCCTCTCGGGGAGGGGTGGTGGCACTTGGCGCGCCCTCGCTGGGGGCAGCAGCGTCTGGCGCGCGGGAGGGCGACTCCGGGGGCGCATCGGTCAGCAGGAGCGCGGGCGCCGCAGGGCTCTCGGTGGAGATGCGCTCCACGATGCTGGACAGGCAGTCGAGGCTCGACACGGCTGCACTCTTCCCGGGTCTGACTTCTGCGCAGGGAGGGGCGAATTAGTGCGGTCGAGGGGGCCACGTCTCCCACCCGGGGCGAGGGGTGGTCCAGTGCTTGGGGGAATTCTGGATTCTTGAAAAAGTGCAAGTTAAGGGAGGAAGGCGACACTGTACCCGGTTGGGAGGAGGGGGCGATATTGCGTCAGGGGAGAGGGATTCCCAGAACAGAAGCCCCACTGCTACGAGGGGAGGTAGGAAGGAGGAGTGCGCGCGAAAAGAAGTCGCATACTCACCGCTGGGCGCCTCGCTGTAGTAGGAGCCGTCGTAGCAGTTCCGCCCCCGGGAGCCGCTTGGGGGACCACTGTAGTCCATCTGCAAACGAGGAGGACACACGCACCATTAGACGCACTGTACCGCGCCTGATCCGAGCGCCACGCCTAACAGCCACCCTCATCCCAACTTTCCAACTCCCAGCCGCAAGTGCCAGGACCAGATCTGCCCTAGTAGAGGGCAAGGGTGGGCAGGGGCCAAGATCTGTAGGATGCCAGGCCAAACCGAGGGCGGAGGGTTACCTAGAGGCACAGACCGGCTGTTTGGAGGCAGCATTAGTGGAGTAAAGCAGATCTTCGTATCAGCACGGCAGTGTTCTAATGCACTTTCAACCAAGCTGATTGCATTTCCTCCCTGTGCCCCACTACCTTGCTTGGGTTACACGGCACGGAGGTTCTACTCTTGGGAAAGATCTCCTCCCAATACCCCCACCTGGAAGGCTAGCTCCCTGCCCTTGGAGCGCGTCCCATATGTACCCAGCGTTGCCTTCACCTCCCCTGCTCCTGGCTCCAGGGCTTACCATGCCGTCGGAGCAGTTGGAGCGCGGGCTGGATGCATCTGAGTCGCCGCTGTAATGTTCGCCCCCGCGGCCCGGGGGTAACGGGCCCGGAGCGTAGAAGGCGGTGGCGGCGCCAGGGGGCGCGGCGTCCTGATCGCGCAGAAGCGCCTGGAGGCCCTCGATGTAGCGGATGGCGTTACGCAGGATCTCCACCTTAGGCAACCTCTGGTTCGGGTTGCTCGACGTGCAGCGCTTGAGTGTCTCAAAGGCCTCATTGACTTTGCTCAGGCGGCGCCGTTCGCGCATGGTAGCGGCCTTGCGGCGGTCGGCATTGGTGGTCTTGCGTTTGCACGCCTTGCAGGCCCACAGTAAGCAGCGCCCCGCCTGATGGTGCCCGCTGGGCGCTCGCACATGCTCGTCCTCGCGCGCACTGGGCGCCGGGTGCACCACTGCAGGGAAGTGAGGGTGCTCCTCTGGCTTCAGGAGTGCGCCCACGTGCACAAGGCGCGGGTCCAGGTCCTCGAAGAAGCGCAGGTCTGGCGAGTCGAAACATGGGTCGTCATAGAAGTCATCGGCAGTGGTGAAAGAGCAGAGAGAGCCGTCGGGGCCCGTCAAGTCCACGTCGCGCAGTGGCGGCGACAGAAGCTCCATGTCCCTGCTGGGAGCCGTGCAGTCACTGTCTCACTCAACTCACAGGGCAGGTTGCTGGTAACTTTCAGACTCTGGAGTCTCAGTCGCAGGAAGGCAAAATGCTAGAAGTCTCAACGCCCACTCAACTGTCCTCCACCCCGCCTTGAACGGTCTGACCTGATGTGTCTCAAGGAAAGCAGCGGCAGCGCCCTAGGGTTCCCCCACCCCAAGCTGCGCGCCAAGCGCCTGGGGCTATTTATCCGGTAGTAGTAGCTTGAGTGCCTGCGAGCTGTTACCAGCGGCCAGGGGCGGGGGCGCCCGAGACCAATGGGAACTGGGCAGGGCGGAGCTTGGGGTCCCCTGTGCAGTGTCAGACAGTAGCAAGCATCTTGCCCCCGCCCTGTGACAGTTCCAGGCCCCACCCTAGGCCTCGAGGAAGGCAGGGCGGTTGCACTTGGCTCCCTATCCCACACTTTCCAAACCTCTCCCCGCTCTCGGAGATTGCCATAGTCTCCGGAAATGCTGGCTATGAGCCCTGACTTTGTGCCCCTCTTTGTCCAGTGATTTGTGGGGAACGCAGAAGCAGGACAGGGCCAGGATCAGACTGGGGGAAATCTGGAGAGAGACACACAGGCTACTGGCAGGGACACAGAGTTGAGATAGTTGAGACAGGGCACATCCAAAAAGGTAGAGAGACAAAGAGCAAAAAGCTCCACAGGCAGGGACAGGGAAGCGCCCGTGAAAATCAGTGAGCAAATCTGGGACAAATTAGACGTGACAGCCGTGTAAGTTGGCTCGTGCCTATCTCGAGAATACCTCACTGCCCACCTTCCCTGGACACTTATAAACCTACCCTCTTCTATACATTCTATACTTCTCAACAGTCTTGAGCCAAACTCAGACCCTGGAGAAAGGTGGATTCTCGCCTATTTCAGTTTATGCGATGCCACAGCCTGGAAGGTCCAGGCTGAGATGTCTCCTCTATTGAGTAGACAACTAACTGTTCCAGGCTTGCCTCCACCTTGCTCGCAGTGCTCAACCAGAAGGACTCTCTGTGTGGCTTTATGAGTGGAGTGTGAGGAAAGACAGTAATGATGGGCAAGGTCCAGGGGTGATTAATTTTATAAAACAATGCATGAGATTTATTTCATGAAGCACAAGCACAATGTATAAAAACTTTGTTGTTGTTGTTGTGTGCCGTCTAGTCGTTTGCGACTCATAGCGACCCTATGCACAACAGCCCTAAACCCTGCTCTATCCTGCGCCAACAGCACTGCCTCTGACACACCCATCTCGATTACCCCAGTCACAGAATCAATCCATCTCATAGAGGGTCTTCCCCTCCTGCACTGTCCCTCCACCCTCCCAAGCATGATGTCCCTCTCCAAGGACCTGTCCCTCCTGGCAACATGTCCAAAGTATGTCAGAGGAAGCCCCAGAATCCTTGCCTCCAAGGAGTAGCTTGGTTTAATCCTCTCCAAGATGAATCTGTTTGTTTTCCTGGTAGTCCATGGTACATTCAGTACTCTTCTCCAGCACCATAGCTAAAAGGTATCAACTCTCCTTCTATCCTCCCTAGTCACTGTCCAACTCTCTGATGCATAACAAGCGATTGCAAAGACCATGGCCTGTATCAGGCGCACCTTAGTCTCCAGAGAGACACCGTTGCTCCTGAGTACTTTAGAGAGGTCCCTAACAACAGACTTTCCCATCACAATACGTTTTTTGATTTCCTGACTGCTGGTGCCAAGAGTGTTGACTGTGGAGCCGAGCAAACTGAAGCTGTGAGCAATCTCAATCTTTTTGCCATCCATCCTGACGCTGCCAATTGGTCCAGTGGTGAGAATCTTTGTCTTCTTGACATTGAGCCTCAGTCCATACTGAAGGCTGCAGTCCTTGACCCTCCGCGGCAAGTGCATGAGGTCCTCCTCAGTTTCAGCAAGCAGGGTTGTGTCATCTGCATAATGCAGGTTGTTAATAGATCTTCCACCAATCCTGATGCCACAATTCTCTTCATAGAGCCCAGCCTCTCGGATAATCTGCTCTGCATACATGTAGAAAAGGTATGGAGACAGGATGCATCCCTGGCATACACCCTTCCCAATTTGGAACCATGCAGTGTTACCCTGCTCTGTTCTGACTACTGCCTCTTGGTCCAAGTATAGGTTTCGCATTAGCACATTGTTAGCAAACCAATATTTTTTTAATAGAGTGTGTGAATCAAGAACTTTCTGTTTGTGTATAGAATTCCAGTCTCCTAACTAGAAGTCATCTCTTTCCTGAGTTTCAGCCTTCTCCTTGTGTAAGTTTGGAGACGATGACAGGGATATTTTGGAGAGACTGTGATGATGCTGAAAATCTAAAAGAAACAAGAGGTGAAAGCCCTCCTTCACAGGAGGAAGGCTAAGTTAGCAGGAGAGTTTGCTTCTGTCGCCCTCACCTGCTGAGCACAGGAAGCTGCTGCTCTCCTGGCTGTAGGTCAGGCAGTTGGGTCCATGCAGTCTTGAGGCTCCCATCCTGCAAGGTGTTGTCTGCATCACTTCCCAGAACGACTTCTAGAGAGACTAGGAACAGAAGGAGGCTGCCATCCTAGGGATCTCTAGCTCAACCACCACCCCTTGTGGTAGTTATGTGCCCTCCAGTCAACCAGGACACATAATGATCCTGTGAACAATGTGACCCTGTGAACAGTGGCTTGAACCTTGCCTTATCCTGAGCCAGCTTCCCCATCTCTGACACCTGACCCCGTTACCACAATCAATGTGTCAATCCATCTCATCCAGAGTCTTCTTTTCTTGTGCTGACCTTCCATGCTTCCAAGCATAATGTCTTTCTTCAAGGACTAGCCCCTCCTGCCCAAAGTGTAAGACAGAGTTTCAAAATCCTTGCCTGCTAGTTTCACCCTCTTCAGAACAGACCTCTTTGTTCTTTTTACTCTTTTCCAGCACCACAACTCAAAAGCATTGATTCTTCTTCACAACAAGCAATTGAGAAGACAATGGCTGTGGTCAAACACACTTGTCACACTTGTCTTTAGACTGACACCATTGCTCTTTAGCACTATGGAGAAGTCCTCAGGGGCAGATTTTCTCAATGCAATTAATCTTTCTATTTATTTATTTTTTAATTTCCAGTCATTCGTTGTTGCACTTTTCTCCCTGCCTACCACTCCCCACCCAGTTCATTCTTCTCTTTGAAAAGCAAAAGAAAAATTCTTCCATTGTTATACAGTCCCTCCCCCCAAGTCCACTCCACTATGCAACCTTCGTTCTGGACTCCTGTCATGACAGTAATACCTAATCATATATCCCTTTTAAACAGTTCTCTCCCTCATCTGTTTCAATGCAATAACTCATCTTTTGATTTTCTGACTAATGGTACTAAGGGTGTTGATTGTGGATCCAAGCAAGAGGAAATAATTAACAACTTCAATGTGTTTTTTTCCCATCTAATATAAAGAAGTCTAGTGGTAAGAACTGGATAATGATTAGGGATGATAGAGAATTGATGCTTTTGAGCTGTGGTGCTGGAGAAGAGTGTTGAATATACCATGGGCTGCTAGAAGAACAAACAGGTTTGTCCTGGAGAGGGTGAAATCAGGCTGTGTCTTGGAGATAAGGATTCTGAAGCTTCGTCTGACATACTTTGGACATGTTGCAAGGTGGGACCGGGACTTGGAGAGGGACATCATGCTTGGGAGGGTGGAGGGACAGTGCGTGAGAGGAAGACCCTCTATGAGATGGAGTGATTCAGTACCTGTAGTAATGGTGTAGGTGTGTAGAGACAATAAGGTTGACACACGATAGAGCAGTGTTTATGGCACAGAGTCACTATGAGTCAGCACATAACAACAACAACAACAACAACAACAACAACCATAGTTAGAACCTGAGCTGCAATCCCAAAGGCATGTGATTCAAACCCACCAGCTGCTCCACAGGAGAAGGATAGATAATCTCCTTCTGTGCTATTCACTGCTTCTGAAAACCCCTGGAGGGTCAGCTATATGGATCAGTTCTTATTCTATGATACACATCAACATCATGATACTGCCTATGGGTCTGGTGGTAGAATTCTTTCCCCCCTGATCCTGTTGTAGAGTTGTTGAGTACCATCAAGTTGGAGGCGACCCATAGCTTACCCTCCAGTGGGTTTTCAGAGGCGGTAATCGCACAAGAGGAGATTGCCCATCCTTCTGCTGCAGAGCAGCTGGTGAGTTTGAACCACATGCTCTCAGGATTGCAGTGCGATTTCTTACCACTAGGCCACCAGAGCTCCCTTTCTAACAGCCCCTAAGCCTGTACTGGATAATGAGAATATTTCCAACTTATTGCCTTCTAGTCAGAACTGACTCAGCTGACCTTCCAGTTGATTTTCAGAGGCTGTAAATTGCTCAGGAGAATATTGCCTATCTTTATTCCATGGATTCTAATTGCCAGAGAGGCATTACTTTTGGTTTAGCAGCATCACTCTCTATGGACACTAACAGAGCCTTCCTTGTTGAGAATAAAGCAGAGAACAAAACCAAAGCCTTGCTCTCATGGGGATGTCGTTGTTAGGTGCTGTCACATGGACTGTGACTCCTTGTTCTTATGTGTGACCTCACATACAATAGCTCTGAACCTGGCTCTATCTTGAGCCAACCTCATTGTGTTTGACACACCCTACCCCCATTACCCCAGTCACTGAGTCAATCAATCTCATGGAGGGTCTTCCTCTCCTGCTCTGTCCCATCACCCTCCCAAACATGATGTCCATCTCCAAGGACTGGTCCTACCTTGCAACAAGCCCAAAATATGTCAGACAGAGCTTCAGAATCCTTGCCTCCAAGGAGCAGCCTGATTTCACCCTCTCTAGGATGAACCTGTTTGTTTTCCTAGCAGTCCAAGGATATTCAATACTCTTCTCTAGCACCACAACCCAAAAGCATTGATTCTTCTTCTATCACCCTTAGTCATTGCCCAGGTATCTTTTTTTTTAGAAATATAAACTTAAATTTATTCTGAGATTTTAAAGGAAAA